AATGCCTACTGGATCAGTTTTTGGAAATGCATCAACTGATTCTAAAGTTCATGTAGAAAAATTAAAATGTACAAACAGCCAGAAAAGTCCCAAAAGAGAAGAGTATTAGAAGGGAACTAGCACTACCAGACATCATAAAGTGTCAAAACAACACGGCACTAGCACCCAGATAGACGGCGAGTCCAGACACAGGGATGGTAGATGATGAAGGCGGCGTCTCAGTCAAGGAGGGAAAAGACTACTCAATGAATGGTGTACGAGCTACTAAACACCTGTCTGGAACAAATGGACTCACCCTGCACATCACAAACCAGCAACAATTCCTAACCGATCAAACATTTAAATGTAAATCGTAAAGATATGAAAGTTCTAGAATAAATGGGGCAAATTCCTTTTTATAGCCTTGGAGTACAGAAGCCCTTTCCAACCATGGCTCAAAAAACAGACACCATTTCGAAAATGATATATTCAAGTAATTAAATATAAGAATCTTTCACAAAGCAAAAAAGACAAACTGGGGAAAAATATCTGCAACTCATATTACAAACAGAAGGCTAATCTCTTCAATATATAAAGGGCTCCTAAATTATAACAAAAAAACCAAAAATCCAATTTATTTTTAAAAATTGGTTATTAATGTATCACAGTAAAAGAAATGCAAGTGCCCTTAAATATAAAAATACATTACAATGTATTTGAAAAAATTAAAATTTTCTAGCATTTTTTATCTTTAAAAAATCCTACCACTTTGCCCTAGCCGGTTTGGCTCAGTGGATAGTGTCAGCCTGCGGACTGAAGGTTCCCGGGTTCGATTCTGGTCAAGGGCATGTCCTTGGTTGCTGGCTCCTCCCCAGCCCGGGCCGCGTGCAGGAGGCAACCAATCGATGTGTTTCTCTCACATGGATGTCTCTCTGTCTTTCCCTCTCTCTTCTACTCTCTCTACAAATCAATGGGAAAATACCCTCGGTGAGGATTAAAAAAAAAATCCTACCACTTTGATCTAAGATCTGAAGAGGTCATGTCGGAGAGAATTTTTTTTTAAAAAAGAACATTACTCTTAAAGTATAATTCTAACCAAAGATTTTATTTTATCGGACAGCATTATAAACATTCGTTTAATCTTTGTTCAAAATCAACAATAAAACCTGCATTTGTCCCCAAATTCTCATCTTAAAAATCTTTTTTCTTAGAAGAGCCCTAAATTTCTAAGTCTTGCGATTAAACATCTTTATATCAATGGTCAAATTCTATGTAACCAAAATTGATACAGTTGTGAACTGGTCTCCTCACCACCAATCTGCCCGCTCCCACCTGCCCCTCCAGCCCCTGCTCCCGCCCAGGAAGCCGCTCCCTTGCAGAGCACTCAGGAGCCGCACTGCCTGACAGCGCCCCTGCCCAGGCTGGTTTCTGGAACATCAGCATGAACCAGGTGTCTCTTCCGGGGACTCAGACTCTAAGGCTGTTCTGTTCAAAGGCTCTTCCCTCCGAGACTCTAGGGGGCTTGGATTTCACGGGGACCGGGACCGTCTGGGAAGGCCTAGCCTACAGGATTATCTGCAGAGTCCCTTCCTCTCCTCCGCCCTCTCAGTCCCAGTGCCTTCCCACAGCGAACCTTGACCTTGCTCCCTCAACTTCTCTCAGGCTGCTGGCCCTCTGCCCATGCACTCATCCTATCTGCTTGTAAACTCCTAGTCAACCTTCAAAATTCAGCTCATACGCTACCACCTTTGCAAAACCTCCTTTCGCCACCTCCTCTCACCAGGGAGGACTCGCGGTCCCTCCTTTGTGATCCCGGAACTCTTCACAGGTATCTTTGTTACATCACAGCACTAACACCCCTCCGCCCAATCCACCCGGGAATCTTTCATTACCACAGCCTCATCAGTATACGCGTAGGGGGCACATTAACGTCTCATTAACGTCTGGTCGGCTCCATTAAAGACCCACAAATATAACACCTCCACCATGCCATGGGACTGAGGAAATACTGCAGGAATCTAAGGTACATCCAATCTGTGCAATAAAAAAGCACTTCTCCTTCTGTTCTTCTTGGATATTATGAACACATTTCTATCTTATAAGAACTTTAAGTTATTTCTGCTCATTAACCCATAAAACACACACACACACACACACACACACACACACACACATATATTTAAAAACACACCAAAAATATGGGGGCCCTGGCCAGTGTGTCCAGTGGTTAGAGCACCAGCCCACGCACCAAAGAATCACAGGTTTGATTCCCGGTCAAGGGCATGTGCCTGGGTTGCAGGTTCAACTCTGGCCCTGGCCAGTGCATGTGAGGGGGGCAACCACTTGATGTCTCTGTCTCACATCAATGGTTCTTTCTCTCTCTCTCTCTCTCTCTCTCTCTCTCTCTCTCTCTCCGCCCTTCCACTCCCTCTAGAAATCAATGGAAAAACATCCTCAGGTGAGGGTTAACAACAACTAAAAACAACTGAGGGCTCTTGAATATTGAAATAAATGAGCTGGAATCTATAGAATTGGGGATAAAATAGGTAATTCCTGGATCCAGTGCAAACAAGTCCAGACTGAAAGGGCCTAATGCTCTAAGTTTCACCAGAACAGCTGAGCTGGAGCATGTGTTTATCCTCTTTACACACATTTACTTTTCACTTCTAATGGCAAAGATTTTCCTATGTGATTTCATAGCCCAGCTCTCCAAGACCTAATAGTCTTTTCCCAAACCATGCTTTATATATCAAAATTTCAAGTTAGGCCCTAGCCAGTTTGGCTCAGTGGATAGAGCATCAGCCTGTGGACTGAAGGGTCTGGGGTTCAATTCCTATCAAGGGCACATGCCCAGGTTGTGGGCTCGATCCCCAGAAGGTGGCATGCAGGAGGCAGCCAATCAATGATTCTCTCTCATCATTGATGTTTCTATCTCTCTCCCTCTCCCTTCCTCTCTGAAATCAATAAAATTTTATTTTAAAAATATTTCAAGTTAGTAAGATATTCCCAACCCTTCCCCTGAGTGCTATTCCTACCGCTCCCTACTAACCAGCAGAGCGCCGCTCTCCTCAGCCTGCCCATGGGCCTGCCACAGCACCCCGTGGGCTGTTCTCCGCATATAAGCCAGTGAGCGTTACACAATCATTTGCTTCTGGAAGATGGGGCTCTGGCCAGATCCAGGCCTCACATGCTCACTCCCCACCAGAGCACACAGCAGCCCCTTTAACACTCAGAAAGGCAGAGTTCTTTATGAACTTGCTGTCAGAATGAATGACGGCAGGACACTATTCTGGGGCACTTTTCAGCTCATGAATAAGTTCAACATGACAGGGGAGAGAAGAAGAGGTGGAATGGCGGAGTTGGGAGGCTGAACACGGATTTTTAAAAGTTAAGAACACCCAGGAAACTTATGCAAAGATCACTAAAACATTACTTTTTAATTCTACTTTATAGTCTTTAGAAAACCCTGTATTTCCTAATCTTAGCAAAATTCATTTCCCCCATCTTTATTATTCAACCAAAGCTAATTTCATTATAATCATGACAGATTAAAAAGCTTTCAAGATAATTAAGTTGGCATTGACCTGGACGACACATATTTCCCTAAAGCAGCATCTGAAATTAAAGCTGAAAGGCATGTGACTGCTACTGTTATTCTAGCAAGATTGCCTTAGCTAAAAATACCTGAAGAATCTCCAACACAAATATCAGAGTATTGATTCTAGGAGCACTGTGTTTTGTTTATATAGTAATATCTTAGAAATCACAATATATCTTACAATTGACAGCATGTCACAATTTAATGAGTAGTGTTTTTTCCTTTCTTAATAGTACATGTAAAATAGAGATGGAACCCAATAGGGTTAAGGATTAAGTGAACAAGGAAAACAATTACAGGAAAAAATAAGTTAATGTTTAACTTTCCTAAAAGATTAATGTGTTGAAAATAAAAGATTTGGTTACGTGCAGTTAGAAACACACAGATTTACACAATGTGCGGTAACAAGTATTTGATGACAAGACTCTTTGTCAACTGTTCCCTCTGTCCTGCTCCTGCCCCTGCTCCTCCTTC